TGGCCCCTGGGCGCAGACGGACAAGGGGCCCTTCAGACCAGATCAAATGGGCATGTTAGTAGGTTAGGTAGGTTATCCCGGACGCAGTCAGGCGCTAAAAACGGGACACTGGATCACCTCTTACGCCCTAGAGCCAAGTTCCCTGCGAGACCTTAGGCATGCGAACCTTTGGCGTATACACAAATGACGTGAGACGGCTAAAAACAGCGTGTTGTGCCACGGACCACGGTTGCACCTTGTTGCATGCGCATCTATTAGCCTTCTCCATCGTACATGGTAACCTCGGTGAATACAAAATTCGCCCTAGGCCATTGCTAGACCTGAACCACGTCTTACTGACGGATCGTCTACATTGGCCCATCATCTGATCTATTATCTAGCTAAGTGTTCGAACTCTGGGCTGGCGCATTATTGTGCCGATAACACACTGTATTGGTTGGAACGCGACTAACGTACGTACATCAGCTTTTCAACCCGTTATGTGCAGGGCGCCGTAGTGTATGTGTGTCGTAGCCCTTGGTGGATAAGGAGTGTCCGCCGGATTCCAAACTGGTTGTAGTTGGAAGATGGGAAAAGCGGAGACCTAAACTGGTTTGAATCAAAGGCCCACGGGAGTGAGTTGAATGCCTGGCCGGGAACTGCAGGCGAAGAGATGCTGACAGTCATACAAAGAGATGCCACAATCGGGACAGCTGTCGGATGTGGACGGTTCGAGCTGGTGTTGGTACTGACGAAGGAGCATTGAGTAGCCACTGCGTAGTTGAGCCAAAGTACAGCGAGTTACCTTCGAGCGTTCCGAGGCCGCAATTGGGCGCCGTAGTGAAGACCGATGGCGTTCATCCAACTTGCGCGTCCTGATTGGTCAGACGCTGAAGGTGGACGTAAGGAGACAGTGTTCGGTCAAGGGCATGCTCACAAATGAAAGGTAGTCGTGAACGGTCATTCGTGCGCTACCGGTGCCAACTACGAATGCAGCCAATCAGCACAGCGCAGTCGCCTTATAAACCCCTAGGATTTTCCGCACACCTCTTTTGTTAGACTTTTAACGCGCCCACCTTGCCAACTTTGCATGTGTCTTTCGAATTTTAGAAAAGAATGCTGGACTTTGTCGTGGTAGGAGAATGCGCGCATTCCTATATTACTGAGTTCCCCTTTTGATTCATTTTTCCTCAAGTTTTGGTTCACCAAAGGAGTAATCAGTTGGTTTTTTCTCCCACTTAATAACAGCATTTACCTTGGCATGTTTCGCCTTCTTTTAACCGTATTTTGCGAATTGCAGTTTTTGTCCGGCTTAACAATCCCCTGCTTTCTCTCAACCCACCACCGCTTCCTGGCACACCACCAACCTGCCTTCTCATTGAGCCGCACTTCCAACCACTAGCCCTGCCCGATTGATAGCTTGTTCGCCCCCCCCCCTTGCCATTCTCCATCTGACCCGCCCATCCTATCTGGTCTTCTTTTTCCCCCTTTGTTCTCTGTCTAGTGCTCGAAGCGGCCGAACTTCAGTCCACCCTGCAGCAGGTGATCCACT